CCCCCCCCCCAACTGTCAAAAACCCGGAGACCCTTTAACACACCGACACCGAACCAGAACCCCAAACCCGACGGGGTCCTACCTGTTTTCGGGGACACTTGGACGTCTTCTTTCTGCACTTGGGTGATAACAGAACTTTCCATCTGACAATCACGGAGCCCTCAAAATCCTCAGATCCTGTCCCCGAACACTGGGCATCCCTCATTGGGTTCGGCTGACAAGCCCGCGTCAGTGTTCACCGAGCTTTGCGTGTCGTCCGCCTCAGTTTCGGTTCGGTCCACTCGCGCAGGATCGATCTGGTCCCTCCGGGTTTCTTTATTCCTCTGCGCCGCTTCTTCTTCTTCTTCTTGTTTTTTTTTTTTTTTTTTTTTTTTTCCGTCCGCCGCCTGGGGATGGGGGGGCAAGGCACTTTGGGGTGTTGTTTTCTGGAGGTTCTCGTCGACCAGGCCGAACCGCCTGTGTTTACTGGTGGTACCGCCGAGCTGCCCCGCTCTACCGTCGCGGCGAAGTCCTCACTTTAGCAACAACAACATGGAGAATCCAGGCGAGAGAAGGAAAACAACCGAGGAAATGGGGCAAGGGATGGCGGTTTCAAGCCCCCCCTTACTACAGATAAACAACACCGCCCGAAAGGCCACAAAGAGCCGTGAAAACCCGCGGCAGTCGAGCAGACACGGCAGATTTGACCCAGAAAACCCGATTCCGACTGTTAGTTGGCTGCAAAATAAGAGTTTTGTTATTATTCACAGTTTTGTTTTTCCACGAATGGGACGCTGCGGGCGCCTTGAAACGGTCCCTGCTCTCTGATTGGTCGATGAGGGGCGAGGGGGCGTGGCTAAAGCATTCCTGCGCCGCACAGAGAAACACATTCCAGCGCTTCACGTACAAACGGGAGTTCGTTGTTTGTAAATACGAAGAAAATAAACAAAAGTAAACCAGTGCAGATGGTAAGAAAACAAAAACACGAACGAATTCTATTTTACATCATGAAARCTGTAACATGGGATGTTATTTTTATTTCTTTCCTTGAGTCACGTGAACTTTGGGATTGCTAAAAATTATTCGTCTATCACGAAGCTGAAGTTAGCTTCCGATATCTATCTATCTATCTATCTATCTATCTATCTATCTATCTATCTATCTATCTATCTATCTATCTATCTATCTATCTATCTATCTA